CAGATCGCGCTGCCCCGGCTGTGCAGATGGAGGGCTGGGGAACACACAGGGTTTAGAGGATTAGGGGGACGTTAGAAAGCCAGCCCTCTCAGCTGGAACCACACTGGGAGCAACAACAACCATGACAAAAAAGAAAATTAAAAATAGGAGCCTGATTACTTTTTGGCAACAGAATTCCGTTTTTTAAGGGAAAACATTGCAGCTCCAATCATAAAGCCTTGCTGAAGAAAAGCAAACTCGTTGGCTTCGGGGATAGTCTGGTGCCAGTAACCGTTACTATCCGTCAAAAATACATTATTATCCCAGTGAAATTCCTGTATTCCTTCCCTGAGTCCTGGTGGTAAATGAGGTATTTTGGTACTGGCTAGCCTATCTCTATGTGACATTTATTATGTTAACAGGAGCCAATAGAGTGGGTAATGGGCTGATTTTAGATTCGAATGCAGCTGCATTGGGGAACAGAGTTTTAGCAAAAGAATAAAATGGTTTTGCAACCCATTCACTGCCCCTTCAAACTCCCCCTCAAATTCTCCTCTGAGCTGGTTTTAAGAAATTATTGGATTACAAATAAATGCTCCAATCAAAAAGAGTAACAGCAAGGCCAATTTTCATAATTTCTTACCTCCTACAGTTAGTTTAAAACCAGTAGGAGCAATGAGTGCGTGATGCCTGGGGGTGCTTGCCCTGGGCACCTCCAGAGGCCGGACGAGCCCGACACGACCCCGAGCCGGGGGTCTGTCCTGCACCGGCCCCGATGCTGCTCGCCCTGCGTCCTCACTGAGGTCTCGCTCCGGTCGTGCCCGAGAGAGTCCCCCAAAGCCTGGCACCGACGGAGACGGGCTCCTGCCCGTGGCACACGCGCCGCAGAAAGGTGTTTGAAGCGGAGGACGGCGTCCCAGCACCCACAGCGTGCGTGGATAAGGATATACATGGCCTGCAACGGAGGGGAGGCTCGTGTCCCCCACTCTGCAGGGGAGGGGCAGCACAGACTGTGTCAGCAACACTTACAGTAACAAACAGGAAAACACTGCACTTCCTCCCACCGTCACCCTCAGTCTCCCCTCGCTTTGCAGTGACCAGGGGAAAGGCAAAGGCAAAACAGAGACCTTGGCAGCTTGGCTTCAGCAAGAATAGGTGAGTCGGCGCAGGCGTGGCCGCGGAGGCTGGCACCAGCGTGGTTCGAGCCGAGA